TGACAGGATGTGTGCTGGGCTGGTGGGTGCCTCCTCTCCGGCCCTCCCACCCCTTTCCCTTCTCTGGAAGGGCCCCTCCACTCCTCTCAGTCCTGAGGCTGGAGTGCTCGGGGCATACAGAGAGGGGCCTCCAACTTACAGAAAGTGGGGGGCTGGGGGGCGCTGAACTTTCGAACCCGCACACCGCCCCCCCATCCCCGCGCCGTTCATTACCTTAACAGGAGTTAAAAATAACCGTCTCATCTCTTTAAATTAGTCTGTCTGCAATTACCGCCTGGCACGGCGCTGCCCGCCATCGTCCCGCTGGAGCGGCGCCAGGTGGCAGGCGGGGGCCCTCACCCTGTCTGTCGGTCTGTCTGTCTGCCTGCTTCTTGGTCCCCCCCTTCTCCCCGCAGAGGCTCAGCTACCCCAGGGGCTTCCCAGCTGCCTGCCTCTCGAGCTCCCCAAGTTGCGCGGAGAGGGGGCCCGAGGGGGCCGGGGCCAGGCCATGCGGCTGGCAGAGCAGAGCGAGGGGCCTGCGGGGAGCAGAAGACTTGGGGGGGGGCGGGGGAGGGGCGCCGGGAGGCCCGGGAAGCCGGAAGGGCCCGCCGCGAGCCAGCGCTCGTGGGTGGGTGTGAGCAGGTGGCCGTGGGAGTCTGCCGGGCGTGCCAGCAACTGTGCCAGGAGCGGCTGGCACGGGCTCGTGCCCAGGAGGCGGGCAGCTGCCAGCCCCCAGCTCGTGCAGTGCGGAGGGTGAGGACACCCCCCAACCGGGGCTCACACCGCCTCCTCTCGCACCCCCACCAGCCCTCGGGGCTGGGGATCCCCGGAGGACAAAGGAGGAGGAGGGAGCCCAGCTGGAGCAGGCTGCGGGGAGAGAGCAGGGGGGAGCCCCTTTCACGCACAACCACTGCTCAGCCCGGCTGTAGCAGGACCCTCCTCCTGGCCTCTAGATCAGTCTCTCCGTTCTAGCCCCTACTCCACCTAGGACCTACTGGCCAGAGTGGGCCATATGGGGAGGC